AATAACAACAACAACAACAACTCCTCTTTAGTCTTGGATGCTTTTATTGTTGTAATTTGTCTAGAAAAGAAAAGAAAGGTGGTAGTTTTGGATCAAGCAGCTCAGAAAATTAGCTGCTGATGTAGATTTCATCCCACTGTCAATTTACTATAAGGGTATTTGAGAACAGTGGGGAATAGAAACTATTTTTAGAGCTGTATTTCTCTTCAGCTTTCCAGATATCACAAGTTTTATGGCTCATCCATGTTCATTAGTATTTTCTTCTCTCTGTTACTTAAAATACACCAAAGATCCAATTCTCATTGGGCTCTATTATACACATTTTCCTGTTCCCACAGAAGACTTTTAGATTTCAGTGATTTGTTTCAGTATTAGACAGCCATACTTTCTGCAACAGATGGTGGTATTTTTTTCCATATATTGGGTTAAAAAATCTAAAATGAATTCAAATTGTTCATAAAATTTTCTAACATATATTCTAAATAAAGTTGAATTTAACAGAAGGGAAAAATATTTGCCTTCTCTGACTAAGAGGTAGTGTCCAACAAACTCTAACAAAAGGAACATCCATGTTGAATAGTTGGCTCTGTCCCCATTGTCATCAAACGAACATTTTCCTATGGAGTTATGAGTCATGTTCATCACGCTAAACAAGAAGGCAGCGCATAAGGCTTTAATAATACCACAATCTTAAATACAAACGCTTTTGAGATCTGAGACTTGATTAGAACAAATTCAATTATTATCTGTAACCTTATGGGCATTCAAAAATTCCGTGCCTAGCAATCTGAAAACTCCTAATTCCTGTGCAAGAAAACTTTTTCAGAGTTCTCAGGCCACGCTCAGTCCTCCTACAAACCAGCCTCTGCAACAACTTGAGCTTTAGTCTCTGAATTGTAGACTAGCCTTGAAAGAAACACTTGGAACAGAATTGGATCGGACGGACAGGCAAAGTCCAACACCAGAATAGTGCTGCATTTTAAAATCTAAACCCCACAGCTGGACATTGATATGGCACCCAGTTTAAGAATCATCTCATTTAAATGCAGCTGTGCAACAGTAAGGTGTCGTGTCCGAGCTATGTGGAGATAAACACACTCTGGGAGAAAAACCCACCTCATCCTGTGGTTAGGCCTAAACTCTGTGACACGAATCTGCCTCCACAGATGTGCAACCACTCGAAGAGGAGGAGCTGACAGCTGTTGTCACATCAGCGTGGCAGACCTCAGTGCCTTAACCTTCCCAGCTGAGCACAGCAGGGGACAGTCTCTGCCTTCCTTCCAGGAGGTCCCAGCGGAGAAGGGAGGTGCTCTGCCTAGGCACCTCTCCTGCGTGCACAAGGTCCTTCCTTGCAGTGAGATGAATTTCCCTTACCAGCATCAGCTTTAAGAGGAAGGCACGAATACACAGCTGTTTAAAACTTGGTACAAAAGCTCTGCATTGTTACATCTGCAGCCAAGTACTGATTTTTTTTTATTTTTTTATTTTTTTTCCAGAGAGAAAAGGACACTTACGCAACGAACAGCAGATAGACACCACTTGTTTAAAACAAACTAATAATTATGTCCTGGGTGGTGCACCAGGCACAGGCCTTTCTCCCTAGCAGAGCACAAAAGAATTGTGATCTAGCTGCAGATGTAACTGCACGTTTGGTCCTCACTAGTCCAGAAGGCGCAGATTTTGTAGGGCTGGCTACCTGGCCTGTCCCCATGGTGAGCAAAGGAGTAGTGAGAAGCACAAGCCAGCCTCAGAGAGATGCAGAAAAGCTAGCTCCCTCTTCTGCTTTTTCCAAATTCAGTAAACTCTGAATACTTGACCAATGATACTTTCAACTCCAAAGAGTTGGAAGGCTGTAATTTAGCCACAATCTGGAGAACACAAATAGTACATTGGGAAACAGGAAGAGAAAAGACCGAACAAGTCCTGAAAGAGAACTTCAGGCACCTGCTTGCAAACCTTGGGTCAGTGGGGAGGGAATGATAAATGACAGGAAAAAAAAGCCAACAATCAGCTTTCTCTCCCGGTGCTTGCATTTCATCGCACACAAACAAAAACTGTGGGATATAAGTCAGAGTAGAATCTGACATACACAGATACAGTTCTGAGGAAAATAGCTCTTTAATCAACAAAGTGACTCCCACAGAGTTCCCAGGTGCTCAGAGGCTGTTTCTCCCTTACTAGATTCTTATTCTGCTTTCTGTTTGACCAGACAACCCCACAAGCTGGTACCTCAACAACTGCTGCGTGTTCTGAGCATCCCAAAGTGACACATGAGGGCAGTCATATGAGGAAGAAACTCCTTCCTTTCCGCTCCCTGCTGAAGGAATTAGAACAGGAAGGAAATTCTGGTGATTTTACTAGATTGTGCTTCCTCCTGCACGGAGCTGCCAGCTCTGCTGGCTGCGTAACTCAGCTCTCACACTGCAAGGTCAGTAAGGCCCCAGTTCCACCCCTCCCGGAGCAGAAATCCAGTTGTTTGCCCCACTTTTCTGGAAGCATCACACAGCACTTGGCTTCCACTTGGCCTCTAATTTGAAGATAAAAAGTAAGCAAAGTCACTGTCACCAATATGTTTGGTGTAAAGCATCTGGATCACGCCTCGCCCCCTTGCCTGGATCCCTCCCCTGTTGCTGCCTGCCCCATTTATCTGCTGCAGAGGAAGCTCTGCAGATGCTGTTTGCTGCACATCAAGGGAATGCCTCCTGCTTCTCACAAGCAAGGGTTATTTTTAAAATGTGCTATGGCAAGTATTTGAACGCAGACAACACTGAGGCCTTTTAGAGAGCTGCTTACAGGGCAGATTCCTCATTCTCTGTCTAATCATTTCTATTTCATGGTTGACTGACTTGTCCCCAGTTTCCATGCTATTGTGGCTCATAGTCAAGTGGCAAGAAATGCCTGAAATGATGAGGTTCCAAATCTAGAAAAATGTAATGGCTCTAAACAACACTCAGCTAAGTCTGAGCCACGCTTCTGGCCTCAGAACAGCCCTGAACAACATTTTTCTGTCTTTCAGCAACCAAACGAGACTAGGGGCTCCTTCTGTTACCCAAGTACATTTTTTACTCTCTACCTGGATGATTTACAATGGAAGGAAGAGAGGCAGATAGGTGACAGAAGGAGCCACAGACTGATGGCTAAGGCAGGAACTGAATCTGTGTATCTTCAGCCCAGCGTCTGTCAGCTAGGAACTGGATCTGAGCATTACGGCTACTTCTAGCAAGCTGAACCTGAAAGTAGTATCCGAATAAACAAATTAGTAGTATCCGAACAAACTTAAACTGTAGCAAAATTCCTCTCCATACTTTTCAGGTTGAACCTATTTCTGAAATACCTATAAAATCAAATAAATCCTTATTTATCCTTGTGACGAGGTAGAAAAGTGTCACTTTGCGATGCCCACACTTTTTACAAATGCTGCTGCTTCTATAATGCAAAATGGATCACGTCTGGTTAACATCAAGTTCACTTTGATACATTCCTGTGTCTCGATGTGGCTACGTGCACCACCATAAACTCAGTGATACGGAGGCAGTACCAGTATTCTGGGTGCCTGCTGGTTTTCAATTAATTTATCTGTTGGTCCACAACCATTTTGGAAGGACAAACTGAAAAAAAAAATCTCACTTTTTCCATTCCTACAACTCTAACTTTTCAACTTCACTTTGGACGATTGGATGTAATCAAGCTAACTTTCCTAATCATTGCCCCAGTGGGAGGCAGGGAGGGCAGGACGGGCTTTGTAGGCTTCATTTTCCTTTCTGTCCGTTAGGAGTTTTTTCCATGAGTGGTCTGCCTCTCGTCCCAGCAGGAGCTTTCTTTCCCTAGTTAAGTTTGTGGACACTCGATTCCGACTTGTTTGGGGGCTGTGACTCATCCTCGGAAGGTCTGGTTGCTTTGGGGACTTCTTCTGTTGATGTACGCAATGAGCTGTGATGCAGCCTCATTCTCCAGCCCTGCATTCCCTGCCTACTCAGCTGCTCCCCCATGGGTGGCAGAAAAAGGAATCGCTCCCTCCTAACACCAGGCATCTTAAAGGACGTTTTGTACTGCTGCGTACAAAGATGATTTTTTTCTAAACTAATTAAAAATGTGTTCCTTTTCTTTCTAGGTCCTGGAGCTGACAACGGCTCCTTAATTAAAGATATAGCCCGCCCTAGGGGATAATTCCTACTCTTGATCTGCAACACGGGCAGTCCTATTCAGCACCTTCAAACTCTGCTGAAGGCAGAGGGATTTGAGGTTACTCACAACCTTACTGCACTGTCTGCACGTACAGCACAAATCATCTTTCTGACAAACACCCTGAAACTAGATTCCAGCCTTTCTGTCCTCGGAAACAATAGGACATTACTCTTTTTTAGTAATGGGTCATCGTGACCAATGGATGGGGTGGTCAGGGTGATGGTGCTGGACCCTAAGCAAGCCAGCTGGTGGTTAGTCACCCGCTGCACCTGGCAGGCTCCCGTTGGTCCTGGGTCCTGACAAGCCCAGACGACAGCATCCTCAGTTCCCGCACGTATATCACAAAACCTGTCTGCTAAGAGGAAAATCAGCCCCAGGACTTTTCTGACTGAAGGGACTTCGAGGAGAAATCCCCGTCGGTCCACATTTGCCAAAACTGTCAAACCGAACTGTAAGCCAGAGCCTAGACCGGGGCGCAGTCAGATTTGCTTAGCCTCTTCCCTCGCTTCTTGAGGGAAAACCACCAAGGAAAAGCAAACGCAAGGAGGAAACGAATGCAGCCCCCTCCGGGACCTCTGCTCTGCTCCCTCTTGGCTGAGGCTGGGCGGCCGGGACCCGGGGGGGCTCAGCCCCTTCCCCGTCCCTGCGGGGCTGTGCCAGCCGCTGCCCAAATCCCCTCTCCCTTTTTTGTTTTTCCCCAAAATAAAGGAATTGGGACCCGACCCCCCTCCCTTCGCGCAGCAGGTGGAGGGGAGCGGCCCGGGCTGGCGCGTCCCCCCCCTCGCCTACCCCTACCCCTACCCCCCCCCGCTCACCTTGACCACGTCGTCGTTGAGGTGCTTGGGGTCCCGGTTGACCAGGTCGATCTCCTTGGTGTGCACGTCGTGCACCGCCTTCTCGCTCAGCTCGTCTGCCATCATCTTGTTGTTGGGCTTGTAGATGTTGCCCTGCTCCCGGACGGGCGCCGCGTACAGAAAGCCCTGCGGAGGGAGAGAGGGGAGAGCGGCCGCGAGGGAGAGGAGGGACGGGAGGAAGGCAGAACCCAGCCGGGGAGCGGGGAGGGGGGGGGGGGGAGAGAGAGGCCGGGCAGGGCCGAGAGGGGCGGGCAGCGGGGGGGCGGCCCCGCTCCCGGGGGAGCCGGGCTGCGGGCGGCTCTGCCCCGGCTATAAAACCGCAGCCCCGGGGGCGCGCCCCCCGCCGTGCCAGGCGCGGCTCCGCCGCTCGTCGCCGCTCGTCCCGCACCGCCAGGCGGCCCCGCAGTCCCCTCCGGGGGTTGCCCGGGACCCTCACCCCACCCCACCCCACCCATCCATCCCATCCCATCCCAGCCGTCCCCCTGTCCGTACCTCCGAGTCCACGTACTTGGTGCCGGACATGCTGCCCCGCTGCGGGTGGGTGGCGGCCGGCCGGGCGCTATAACGGAGGCAGGAGGATCCCGAGCGGGAGGGAGGGAGGGAGGGAGGCGGCTGGCGGCCGGCCAGGGCCCGCTCCCGGCCTCCGCTCGGGGCGGGGGGACCGGAGCCTGCAGGGGCGTCGCGACCCGCCCGGCACCGGCCCGGGGTGGGAGGGGAAAGCGGCCCCGAGCCGGCAACCTGCCCGCCTCGGCCCCCCGAGGGGACGGGGACAGCGGCACGGGGACGGGGACGCTGCCCCGGGACCCCTACGGCATTGGGGGGGGGGAGGCGAGGAAGAGGTGAGGAGATGGGAAAGCCCCCTCCGCCTCTGACAGTCGCTTACACACCGTTTACACACAGTTTACACACGCTCCCGATCTCCCCAGGAACAATTGTGGGAACTTGGGACATCCTCGGGCTGAAGAAAAAGTGATCTGTCTGCCTCAACCGGTTCGTTTCGGAGCTATGCGAGTATTTAGCAGTCCTGCGCTTGAAGGGCACGGTGTTTTCCTGGGAGGAGGCTGACCCCTGCGTGTCTGCCCTGCCCGTTAGCCACCGGCACTGCGCTTCCGAAGAGGCTCCGTGGGACACCCACGGTGGCCACGCTGTGTTCCCTAGGCCCTTTATAAACCCGGGGGCATGTGTAGGCATAGACGCTGCGAGGATTCATCACCGAGTGCCAGACAGCCCAGGTTACAGATGCAATGGCACTGTGCAGCTGTAAACTCCGAGTTATATTTAGCTTTTTTTTTTTCTTTTTTTTTTTTTTTTGATGTTTGCAACCATCAGCTTTCCATTAGGAAATCAGACCTTGTTGTAAACTTTATAACGCTAACAGCGAAGTGGCGACCTTGTGCCGTTTAGCACGGAATTGCAGCAACAGAAGTAGAACGATCTTGACAGCTGTGTGCTTAGCTGTGGCAGGTCGAGAAACGAATCAAAAGGACCAGCGGCCGAGATGGATGTAGGCGTCTTAAATGCACCTGCTGAAAATGCAGTCCACGGGGCTGTGTGTTACTGGTATGGGCATCAGTAAATTGTGAGCTTTGAGAGTTCCTGTTGTTCACAAACTTTAGAACTTCAGATGGATGTTTTCCAGCTTTCCAAGTTAGTCGGCATTTTAAAAAGTATTTTTTTTTTATCGATGCAATAATTTACTTAGGCCATCATTAAAATACCCTGTCGCTGTCCAAACATTTCAATGTGTGCATAAAATCAAATGTACGGATCGAAAGACGTAGTCTCGAGACTTTTTCAAAAACAAACAAACAAAAAACTGTTCTGATTTTCATTTCTAGGAAAGTTTCATGCCCAGTCAGTGTCCTGCACATACATCGGAAGATTTTGACCCATCGTTTATTATGATTGCATATTTCAGGGATGACTAAGAATAGGAGATATGTTTGTTAACTTGAAGCACTGAATTGCTCCTGGAATGGTTTCTGCAGAACTTCAATGCCCTTTAAAAGAAAGTTCTGAATCATGCAACACCACCAGAGCTGGAAGAATATGGGAAGCTGGTGGAACATACAGACCTCATGGGATGAATCCCAGAGAGGCTGCTTACAAGCTGAAATGGACTATCACAGCTGATGAACCCAGGAAGTGCTCGCTTGAGCTTGACCACCAGGAAGACATCCTGCAGAGAAAACTGCATGGGTACGAACAAGCTGTAAGAGTGAGGAAGTGACATCTGTGGAGATGGGTCAGGGTAAAGCCCTGGCCCATTTCCTCTAGCACTGGGGCATGAGAAATGCACATAAACTTCACGCCCAGCGACTTGGCAGCAGTGAGTGCCGGAGCTCTGCGAGGAGCTGTGCTTACACACGGAGGAACAGTATAGCTCATCTGGAAAGGGCACGCAAAAGGCTTGCAAGGGGTTTCTGAAAGAGCAGAAGATATCCCCTCTTAGTTACTGTGAGTGGATCATTCAGGGGTGGCCTAAAATTGCCAGTGATTGTGGGCACCCAAGCTGGCCTTGCAGATGCCACCCAACTTGTCTTCTCATTGAGCTTTGCTGCACTTCAGCAACCCCGGTCAACCATTGACCAGGACTGTATGCTGTTCAGGTGGCCACCTCACTGCCTTTCTTCTTTTTCCATCACATCAAGCCTCGGCATTTCATACCTAAATAAAAAAAAAATGCTCAGAAGTTTTGCTTTAATTGAACTTTCAGACCTCAGGATCACCCTGAGGACTGACCGTAAACATGGAACAGAGAGCGTGCAAGGTGTGAGCACTGAGAGAAGAAAAGCCTTGGTGACTGGTAGGAAACCAGTGAAAAAAAATAAAAATAAATACAGTGCAAAAAATAGATTGGAGAAAATTCCTCTAAAAAATCGTGTCAGAAAATGAGTCACAAAGCTGAACTGAATGTGCATGACTGCTCACTGAATGTCTTTGTCTGGTATCAAACTGCTGCCTCTCACTCCGCTCCCTCCCCCTCCCTGCTTTTTAAAGTTGTGTAATTATTCCAGTTATGGTATTAGCAATACTCCTGATATATTGCAATGTCAGCAAGATCAGAATCAGCCCTATTCTTTATGTACAGCTTCAGCAGCAGCTAGGCTGTCAGATAACAGGCTGCCAACAAGCAGCCTTCCTCACACAGAGCGCTTAAAGACCTGAGGCTTCGGAGAGGAAGATCTCTGTGTTTTAGTGTCTTCTGTTGAGCTGCTTCAGTGCATCCTTTTATGTGCATTTTTGGACGTTTTGCTGGATGAAAGCCTGAGCTGCCAGGAGTGTTGGTAGTGAGCTTTTATCAGCTGCGAATGCTCTGCTTACCCTGCTGCGCGATGATAAGCATTGGGATGGGTTTAAAGCGCAGCCCGGTGTTTTGCTGTTTCTCTGATTTACAGACCTGTAGTCCTACAGGATCCAAGGTGGCACTTCTGTCCCCACTCTCTGGAGGCTTTCTGTCCTTCAAATCAGAACTCGCTGAATCGGAATACTCCCACTGAGGTGGGTGCCCTTGTCACCAGTGTATAGGTCCAGTATATAGGACCACACTTTCTTGTTATTTGGCCCATTTATTCCTTGTGTCAAAGAAGTAGTTTCCCCGGGAGAGACTGTGAGCTGCCTGCCTTCCCATTCCTTTCTTCTCGTAGCCTCCAGCTGTGGGTGATTTCCTTTTACACCGAGGCACTGCTGCCACAGCATGTTGCACAGCAGCCTGAGGGCTAGAAGTGTGATCCAACATGTGAGAGACCTGAGATCAATCTTTGCCTATCTGAGGTGTGCTAATGCATTTGGACTCTTGGGAAAATATTTTTTGGGAAGTGTCCCCTTCTGCTGGTGTGCCGTCAGTGTATTTTCAGGGTACCAAGCCATTCTCTTCCCTTGTTTTGGGGTACTTCTCTTAGATGAGAGTGAGCTACCAAGTTGCTCAAACAAGGGCAGTTCTAGGCATGACCAAAATAAAACTCTAGGTACTGAGGGAAGGTTACACGAAAGGGAGGTGCCTTCTGGGTTTAGACATGTTCCTGGCTGGGTGGCATCTGGGCAGGGATTACAGTTTTGGATTTAAATGCCTGACTCGCATCTCAATCCTGCTGTAGGTGTGTACATTCTTTATTGGAGCTGGTCCCTGTAGGTCTCGATTGAGACAGCTTGTAACTGTCTCGGCTGGTGAGGCACATGGATTGAAAGCTTTAATTCTGTCAGCTGAATGTAAGTTTTCTAGACTTTGAGCAATCAGAGCTGCTCTTTTCTCAACCCTTTTCAGTATCAAATTCCTCGACAAATACCAAGCTGGACCATGAATACTGGTTGGGGTCAACACCACTCTGTGCCATTCTGCCAGTCCAAGCATATCGTTGACTGTTCTAGCATCTCACTCTTGGCACTCAAACACTCACTCCCTTGGCTTACTTGATTTTTTGTCACTGAGCTTAGCCATGTAAAAGTTTCATGGGCAATGCCAGCCTCTAGTTGTAGCAGTGTGAGCTGCGACAGTGTAACATAAAAATAAAGGTGAGGTAGGTACATAAGGAGATAAAGGAGCTGAAATTGAACCAAGGCAGATGGAAAAATAGACAACTTTTCCTCAAAAGCTTGGAACAGAAGCATGAATCTCTACATTTTATTCCATCTAAGTGTCTAAAGTAGGATCTGTTAAAATGCCTTCTGAAGGAGCCCTTCTATCCCTACTTATAGTGGGAGGGGGAACCCAGATGAGACAAAACTGAATGCTTACAGCAGGTGAAACACCTCAGCCTCAAGTCAGGAGACAGATGTGCAGAGAAGAGCCTGCCCTACTACTTAGATGAAGCTTTAGTTGCTTCCATGGGCCTGCAAACTTTCTGGAGGAAATAATTTTTATTATTATCATTATTATTTGTTTGTTTGTTTGTTTGTTTGTTTGTTTGTTTTGTAGCAGAGGAGAGGACCCAAGCCAAGCCAAACGTCTTGCATTAATCAGTAGAAAATCTTCTCTGGAGGATGGTTCTGAGCAGGAACCTTTCTTAGCTCCTCTGAATTGCCTCTACAGAAGACATTTCCGTTTTGTTGAAATAAACTGTGGAAGATTGGTGTCACCAGGCTAAAATTAACCTTATTAATTCACCCCTCACTTGTAAATCCCTGCACGAAGAAAGCACCTCAGTTTTTAATGTGGAACTGCTGGTTCAATGTGCTCACTGGAGGTCTTGAGCTCCACGAACACAGTGTACTAATGTGTTTGATCGTGTTCCGTTTGCATTTTCTTTTTCTTAAAAAAAATAATAACACACATGTTTTTTCCATGTATTTTTAAAAGAGAGTTAGTACAGCTTAACGGCGGTAGTTTTATCTCTGCAGGTGGGGGAAAAGATCACACCCTGTAAAAATAATGGGCTTGCCATTCTTTGGCTTCCAGTAAATGTGAGTGTGTGGTCTGAGGTCCCAGAGCTGCAGGGATGCTCTGAATATTTCAGTCTGTGCCTGAGTGACTGTACTGGGTAGGTGGGAAAGGGCTCCTTGTTTACTAACATGTCAAAGTTCCTATTAAGAATTTG